TTACTCTTGGCACTTATTTGTCAATGTGGCCCTGTTCACGACAGGTACTGTTGGCATTTTTACTCCACCCTTTTGACCGTCCAAGTTGTGGCTCTTCATTGCGGGTAGAACTTCATTCTGTACAGCGCAACAGCAGTGTGAACTGAAAAGTGAGGTATCAATGAACAGCTGTTATTACCTTTTGGAGTCTCATCAGCGGTGCTAATAGTTTAATCCAGCCGAGAATTGCTAACCCGGTGCCGCATTTTAAGAAGGCAAGCGTGCTTCCAAGAGGGGGGGTTGCGATTAAACCTCGCCTCTCAGCCCTTATTTCACTCATCGGTCCGTATCTGTGACTGAAACCCGCCGAAAAGCAATTAATCGCATAACTCACTTGTGCTATCCCCTTGCGGTAGTCACCATTCACTAAGGCTTACGAAAACGTCACATTCGGATGGGTTGCCCAAGATCACTTCCCAAAGATGGGGGGCGACCGTGTGCTCGCGTTAAGCACCGCGCAACGGATTGGTTTGATTACCACCACGGTGCACGTCTACTTGCTCGTATAATGTGTTTCAAGGGCTACTGGCCTCACGGTACCCGGTGTCTACTTGACCGGAGACTGCCACAATTTGAGGTTTGCTTGTTTACATCATTGTATTTCGTACTCTTTATTACAAGAAGTCTCTTGCTACTAATTCTCCAACTTAAAAGTCAGATATAATAGCTTAAATTGAACTCGACTATTAAACATAACGGCGGAGATGACGAAATCCCACCCAAATTGAATCTCGTTAATCTGATGAAAATTGTTCTACGGAAAAAGAGGTTGTCATTCCGCTATATTAAATTTGTCGCTCGTCCCGAAGTTTATTGCTACCTAACACTAAACTATATGCAGCAGACCGTGAATAAGAGAGCATCGTTCATTGCGGAAATACTGTGGGCGCCAAAGATAACAATGGACACACAACCCGGGAACTGAACTGTTTGCTCCAACTAGTCCAATTATGTGAAGCGGGTACATGCATGATGTTAAAGTTTGTATTTAAACCATTACCGAGTTCTATGTCGCCTGAATTCGGGCAAACTTGCTTTTTGTTCTTCAACACGAACAAGTCAATGAGAAATATATATTTTTTGAGTAAAAAATCGAGAAAAGCGGTACCAATTGCCCATCCATTTCAAGGGGAGACAATATATCTACATCGGAAAAGGCTTTTTACCCAACATTGGGTCAATTCTGTTGACAGCAACAGATGAACATCTATCACTTTGGTAGGGTGATCGCATTGACTGCACAATCCGAGTGTTTCCGGTTTTCTTGAGAGGAATGCAAAGACATTGCTAAGGCACGCATATTAGAAAGCAGCAAGATGAACTATCGAAATAATTACCGCTTACACCTTTAGTTAATCTGTCACGAGCAAGATACTGTCATTTGCAGTTAAACGTCAAATGATTCCAGGACTAAACACCTGTTTAAGTTCCAAAAAGGGAAGAGATCCTCACCCACTCATTGAATCTCACCTCTCTATAATTGCTTGCCAAAAATATACCAAGGATAAAAACATGAAGTTCATCTTTATTTTCAACATCGCTAGAATTTGTCATGAAAATCTTCGTGGTCACACTGATCCGTTCATTAATTGTTATCCGCAATGGCTCGTTATTGTCTGGATACATGTTCTTAACTTTGTATGCTTTTTCCTTCTTTATTATGAGATGGAGTTTCAATAAAGGTGGTCTAACGTCTATTAGGCAGTCACGGGTGTAGAACAATAATTAATCCGACTTCACTTCTAGCATTATTATTGTTCATCGCGACGAAATAACCAATCCCTTTTCTATTTCCACGCACGTGAAACACAACTTTTCGGAGTATATACTCATCGAAACAAAGGTGTCCCCGGCCGGTGATAAGGAAAACACGAGCGACACGTTTGTCATACTATGGGATTCAAATGAGGATAAATGTAAAACTCTATATTTGATTACAAATAGCACGTATATGCTGGATATTTGTACATGGATTTCAAAAATGTGATTGATTTTCAAAATGGGCTGTACGAGGTAAGTTACTCAGTCACGGTCAGTTCAACTCCATCCCGTTTTTCTTCAAAAGATAAACATCTGGAGTTGTAGATTCCGAACAGGGGGTAGCACATTTGTAGCATAATTTTCCTTATCTGATCCTACTCCACATCCGTCCACACTCCGTGAAGAGGTCGGGGTTGAAAGTACAGGCTGCATTCTGTGTACAATACGAGACCATCAACTGATCGACCTGGTCTGGTTTGGAGCACTGGTCAGGGGCAAACTGGAACAAAACAGACTGAGGAATGTGTCGCGAAACTGTTTGGACATGCTGCAATAGAGAATGAAATTGATGCTATTGTTGATCAGTGTGAGAAAATCCATGAAATCGCCCAGACGTTCGTACACGCACTCGTTGAAGCGAGGTCCAAGAAAGTGGTTCAGTAGAAGCAAAGCGGACTGTGAACGATAAGAAAAAGAGCAGCATGATACCAGAGGTGTTGGTTGGCATCACAAACACGGGGTAAATGCACAAGGTATACTCACTGCGTCTGCGTAGGTGCAGATTGTGACGTACGATAATTATGGTAATTTGTACTTCTTTACACCCCAACAGATAAGATTAGCCCTAAATAGTAACATTCAAAATATTTAATAGTTACACAATCTTTGAAAAATAAACACTACTGGTTATACTTTCCATTGTCAATACTCCCAGTATAGTTAACGTGTGGCGGTTTGTTTTGAGTAATATATAATACAAAAAAGATTGCATTGCAAAAAGTTGAACAAAAGTCACCATCAAATGTTTTCTGAATTTTCAGCCAAAATCATACTACCATTTTGCCATCTTTTGTGTGCTCTGTGTGCTTTTATTTCAATAAGAGATTACCATCCATCCCCTGAGTCTCTTAGTGTCTCATCAACGCAAAACTACTTCGTTAAAGGGCTGCATAAACATCTATCAACACCAAATCTGTAGACTGGAAATAATTTCAAAGTAATCCTTAGCACGCTGTTTTGGGACCAAAAACATCATCATAGAAATTTCGGAAAACCGATCACTCAAAGAAGCAAATAGGCGTTCTGATGTGTACTTTTTTGATTCATGGGACAAACGGAAAGAGGTGAAATTCAGACCGATTGCAGAACGCATGCAGAGCATACAAGGTGATTTGTCAATGCACACATACTGGAATGAATTCAATTCAATACACATGGATTCTTACTTGGTCCCTAATTTCCATTGTTATTTATGTCACTGGTAAGTAAATCCCTCCATATCACCAAAAGAAATTCCTGTATTTACTAGACATAATGAAAACGTGTGGCCGTTTTCTATCAACACTTAAATCTTTAGTTGATTGGTTCTGACTACCTTGATAACAAGTATAACTATACAATTCAAACAGGCGAAAGTTACCGTGGACAGAGTGCAATTTCGTGAAGGTTATTTATCATTTGCCGTCCTATGAATTAATAAGGATTTCCGAGAGAACTGCCACTGCACTATTGAAGATGATAAATTTATCGACCACAAAGACTCATTGAAAGATGTAACTGGAGATGAACAGCAATGTTAACTGTAAATATATATTTTAGAACATCAATGAAATTTTATCGTTGATCGTCGAAAGTGATGACAGACAGTTTCGCCCTCAAATGGTAAACACAATAACGATCATGAATTATGCATACATATCGTCTGAGAAATTCTGAGACAATAGTAAATTTTAGAGTGAACAATCTTTGTATTCATCGTTCTCGCCTCAAGATAACATATTCCACCAGTGCTAATAATGATATATTTGCAAATGTTCAAAAGTTAGATAGTACTGTGAATGCTCGGTGCTTTACAAATCAACAGTCATTGGTCAATTTCCCACAAAAACGCAATTTTTGCATATTTCAACAATATGTTTGACATTTATTACTTCATCCGAATGCTGTTGCATACAAAACATTAATTACCAAGACCGACGCATAAAACCGCAGTTAAAATGTGCACTTATTGTGAGTTACAAAATTCAGACAAATGAATCAAAATAATGCATTGCATACTAAATGTTCCTCAGTGGATTTATATCAGAGTATGAGGATTGCATTAAGCACTCACAGTTTTGTCTTTATTAATTTTTATCAAGCAGTGAATACTTATTATCTTGGAATTTAGGAAATTATTTTACGCATCACTAAATCTTACGTTATGGTTCAGCCTTAGTTTAATTACTAAAGCGGTTCTGAGGAAGCTGCTGATTGTGCTGTATGCTGGTATCATTAACTGAATGAAACTGGTAGGCTTATAGTTTGCATACGAGTGACCACAGTGTCTCACGTTATACCGAAAACGGTTAGAACGTTTCACCGAAGAGACATGCCCCATAAACGCTCTCCCACATCATTCAACAAGGAATCATATTAAGAGCTGCTTCAATGTTTAACCCAAAGTAGCCCCCGCTGTAACGCTTCCGACGGTTTTATTGCTCTTACAGCCAATACATAGCCTGACACAGAGCACGTTTCATCGAAAACCCCAAATATCACAAATGAATTCATATGAAAACACTTGGCTTAAACACAAAGCTAATTGGCAATCATTGGCCTCATTGGGTGTTCGTTAGATTTATGCTCAGTTTCTGTTTTGAAAAAAAATACCTAAAGCTGCCCATTTAGCACATTTCACTCCTACACAATTGGTGCAATTATCAGGTCTCTTGGGAGTAGAATCTAAGTTAGCATTAACACTGGAATTGCGAGAAAGTCCCATTCACACGACTCTGTCGATGCAGTTTATCTACTGCAGAAGTAAGTAGCATGAACTCGTTCTCACATGTACGACGGCACGTAATCCCTGTGGGAATGTGGGAAATGAATGCTCTACACGTACCGAAATTGATTCGTTTTCTGATTCCAGTTGACATCAAAGCTAATTTTCGACTCGCAGATATACGCACGTGCTAGAGCACTTTCGAACCGGGATCGGGTCACTACACGGATTGGTTGCAAAATGTTTTTGCTGTAGTCAAACGTGGATAAGACTTTTCAACGAAGCATCTTGTGTATGAAGCCCAGTAATGTATCAGTATCCGCTAGTGAACACCGGTTACACTTGCAAATCAATTCAACACAGAGAAGATCATTCACCCATGCATGTCATATGTTTATCAAAGATTTGGTGTTTCACTGCAGCAAGTATTGCTGATAAATCACAGCAATCTGAAGCTTGTTTCGCAACTTTTGGTCTACTACTTTATTGCAGTGGTTCCACCCCAGGCTTGGTTCTTCGTTTAATTCCTCCTGATGAACGTTTTGTTTTCCGTGCCAACTGCTTATCTGATGGGCTGACAACATATTATGTCCAGTGAAAAAATGTATAATTTTCGTCTTACCATTCGATTGCAGATCACAATATAGAAACATAGGTGCGCATAATCAGCTGTCACCAACTGAAGCAGAACGTACACGACCTCATATTTTTACCTGTGGTAGAAGCTACTTTCATCATCCTCCAGGTTACAATTATTCAAAGCCGTATTTATCTTAATTGATAGATTTGAATTTATCACGACGTTTTATGCAAATTATCTTTGCATAGCTAGCTGCATCTCACGAGGTGATTTTTTTTTAAAAACAATTTCTATTGATTTCGTAATTGTTGAGAATCAGCAATTTGGGGTTTCTGTGTTTGCACATGCATGTCATCTTTTTGTCATGACCCACATTCGATCACTATTTTACAGTCTGTAAATAAATGAACACTAAAGTGGTATTTTTCGTGCTTACGTTTTGTTCTCCTGTTCGTGAAGGTGACCTGATCCAACAACAGATTTGTTTTCAACCAAAACCGTCTGTTAAAATCCGTTATTTTCTTTTACATTTAATCAATCAGATTATTAATAGGGACTGATATCTACAATCTTTCATTTAAAATTCTTAAACTAATTAAGAGTCACGATGTGAAAGAATGGTGAAGTATTAGGCAACTAAGTCTTTGCAAATTATGCTCACCTGGGGCAGGTAGGTAAGAATGTAAAATATAATAATGGTGAGAAGCATGTACGTGGTCTGATTCGCATTTCTTCCGCTTGAAAAATATGCATTGGGTAGGCTTGATTTAGGCTGTTGTCGTTTCCCCTGTCGGCTAACCTGTGTTTTCCCATTCTCGGCTGTCTGACTGGATGGTGAGGTGAATGGAATCTGGCGCGAGTCTTTTTTCTCCTTGTGCAAGCAACGATATCGTTTTTCCGACTGGCGAATTGAGATGATAAGCGCCGCACTGACCGCAGAAATGATCACGATAGGCAATGCTTTGATGAGAATCGCCGAATTCCAAAATAGAATAACCTTCAATGTCTCGTTTTCGGTAAAGTTGACCTCGTACAGTGTTTCTGCAGCGATATTGGTCGTGTGACTGCCAGTCACCGTGGAAACCACCGCGATGGTGACTGATTCTTTGTGATTTGATTCAGTGTTATTTAATGACCATAACCCGAGTATCGTGTGATTTGCAGTTGGATGTTTGCGTTCGGCCACCTGATGTGCACAGATAAACGGGATGATAAGTAATACCGAGGATAGGGACACAATCACAATGGCTATCCACGCTCGTGCCACACTGCAATGGACCACGGCGCGCACACCGGTTTTGATGTATAGGAGACGGAACAGAGCAATAGCCACAATAATCCAGGCAGAAAATGTGTGAAAAAGGTTTTGTAGAATGATATTAATCAGAAGTAGTTCAGCGTAGGCCAACGTCATACCCTGGGCCAGACGCGGAGTTAAGAGAAAGAAGTAGTCGAAAATGATGTACACAAACATCACCAGTCCGTCACTGACTGCAAGCATTGAAAGAAGGAGATTTGTGGAATTCCGTAAACGCGGCTGGCAGAGAACAACCACATTGAGTATATTGGCCAATACTCCAATCGGACAGATAATTAAACATATGTATACATGAATTCGTTGATAGTTTTGATAGAATGATTCAAGTTGTGGGTTATACTCGCCGCAAAGTGCTCCTCGATCTGTTTGTTCCGTTGCTATATTGCTCTCATTGTAATTTAACATAGTAACGGCTACTCAGAGCAACATGTATACACTGAACTCGCCGGGTCAGACTGAATATCGCGCGTCACGCTTGTGTACAAACTTCCCTTTTTATTGCAGTGGGAAGCGAATTCTCATTGGTCAGAATAGTCCATGGTTCCACAAATGTGTGCATGCTGGAAATTGATTGGTGGAAAGGCAGTATGTTGGTGAACCGAACACTCTACTGGCATGGAAACGAATGTTTGTTCATAACCGACACCAGTGAGTCGGATTACAGTTCAAATAACGATTACAGCATAATATACAATTTACACTTCATATGTTTGTTATACACTGTTTTGTTACCTGGTTCCTGAAAAATGATTTGCATTTATAAGGGACATTTAGGTTGTAAAACAGCATGGGCGCAATATTATGCCAGTTGATGCACCTAAGTCAGATTATACCGAAATAAACAGCAATTGTTAGCAGACAGTGCCATTTTGTTGGTACAATCGTTTTACTCTCAAACCGTGCGAAGACGTACTACATTCAGCACGTCTTCACGAAGTGCATTCTAGTTTGGTTAGCAATTTTGATTGGAGGGAGCGGGGGTGGGGGAGGAAGAAACGGTACGTGGAACCTACCTTTAGATAAAAAGTGAACATAGTTCATAACGATTTGTTCTTATTCATTTATTGTTTGTATGCACTGTGCCCAGCCTATAGCTTATACAGATTCATGTGGATTTCTTTGGAATCAACTACGAGATTCATAACAGAGAAACCGATCTAGGTATCTTTTACCATTCACTGATTATACTCCAGTGTATTAGGTAGCGTTTTTTTTCCTTTTTGCGAGATAAAGGCTGCCCCTGAAGATGTTTATGAACTACTTTATAATAAGTTAGAACTAGATGGAGACAGCTTTATAATGGACGATTTGGCAGATTTTGAAATAAAAAAATACTTTTTAATTCATCTTTTAATATCTATTTCTTTACCATTTTCTTATTAGATAGGAATGCAGTTCACCTATCAGTAAGATTTGCAAATGTGGAATGTTCATTATAGTGCTTACTGGTGAGCAGAACTGATCTAGGCCAAAGTAATGATCTGATTGTTCGTCCACTCGCTAGAGTAGAGATCAGCCGTAATTTGCGATAAATGCAATGCAATCCAACTAGGAAGACAACGTTAACCAATATTATATATATATATATGCATGCATTTTCATCACCGGATTGCAAGTAAGCTTGGTGCAAACGCAACCACAGGTATGACAGGGTTACTCGAGCTGTAATAATAATTTCGGGTCCGTTGCCCACCAGATAGACGGAAATTTCATACGCCCTATGTGCGAGGTTGGTGCTAATGCAATAAATACCCGCTTATTCTTGGCATTTAACCAATCATCAGAATAGTGTACCCAATTTTCTGTATCCCAGTTTGCTGAATAACAACTTCTATTTCCTGGGATGACAAACGGTACAATACAAAAATATGTGACCCCGTTGAACAGGGATCCAATGGCTAGGTTTAAGACTGTTGTTCAGGCTGGAATCTCGAGTATTCACGGGTTGCTGACTTTGGTATGATTCCTGTCTTTGTTCAAATCCGTATGAAAATAATTGTAAGAGGAATCTCACACTTATGATCCCGTAGCCATATATTTAGGTAAAAGAATGAGGTGATCTAGTTCACCGTTTTGCATACTGTAGTTTGATGCAAAATACGAGATGATTTACGTTATTCCTTGGCGGATAATGTTAACAAACATGAAGATGTCATCCTACAAGCTTGGGCTTTTCAAGTTTGCTCAATAGTCAAAGGGAACAATGGCCAGTTTCTCAAGCATCATCTCTGATTACTTTCAACCGATCGTTCGGTATCCATAACTAATTAGCACAATGGTCACTCCCATGTTGACTACATGGGAATGCAAGCAAAAGCATTGAGGTTTATTGTCAGTGTTTTTCACACGTGGCAGTGATAGAGGTAAAAATCCTTTTACTTTGCTGTTCTTCTACCAGACCCGCACAGAGTAAGTCCGTCTATGGAAAATTCGATGTGAAGCACTATTCAAAAATAAATCATCGATACTTTTCTGAATGACGCATTGAAATGAGTACCAAATCCGTCTCCCTCACACAATCGAGCTCACATTTCCTCTTGCACACAGTACGGAACTTTTTTTTTCTTGAAATGCATTGGTTGGAAATAGTGGAGCATACTTTTTCTGTTTAAATCGAAAATTCTTTCACAAGACTCACCACCAAAGGATTATTTGACTGCATCCGTTAGGACATGCGCTTGAATTATCGACCTCTTCATATTACAATTAGGGAAAGAAATTTGAAAATGCTTGACTCCGTTTTTGGACAATGAAGTTTAACGTCTCAAGTCATATAGCATAATTATACCACTGCGTTTTTAATTTTTAACATAAAAAATGAAATTCGGAAATTATGTGGGCCGAACCATTATAATGTATCCATTCATGCTGCTCATGCTCAGGGATCATCAGCCTAACGGCACAGATTTATTACCCAACTCAGAGGTTCGCGTTATCGAAAAAAAAAACATTTTAATTACATTTACCTTCATGCTCGGGCCTCAAAGGGTTGAAAGTGGAAGCCGGAATAAGTTGGCGCCTGGTAACATTGTAGCACTTTTGGAATGTCGTGTTTGCGTCAACCAAATGAACCATTTATGATTGGAATAAACCATTCGCGTATACGGGGTCGAATACTGATAAAATAAAGTAACCAGACCCATTTTTATAAAACGTGATCCTAATTCTGTCCACGTTAAATGTTGATATGTGTTCGGTTTGTGTTAAATAAATAGAAACGCAACTGAGTCGTTTATTGTTTTGTGTTAGAGTGTACCACTATTCAGACAAACGTCAGATCACAAAGAGAGTCAGAGGGAATTGGATTATTTAAAGCCATGGGTGAGAGGTACAAGACGATGTGAAACGATGGTGCAATCGCACTGTAATGTAATCACTGAGACCGACTGATGCATTCGTTATTCGGACATTATCTTGTTGGTAGCATATTTCTTCACATGAAACTGTTCTCCATAATGATGGCTTATACCGTGTGTTGACTTGCAATTTCAAGTTATCTGTGCTCTTGATAATCTACTTCGCCTTTTGACGATCCTTGTTCTCGTGTCACTCTCTACTTATGCAATGTTTTTCGATTACGAAGCCGCCAAACACGTAAACCACTTGCTACTAGATCATTGTAACGGCTCAGTGTGCTCAATTCTACATCTTTCACATACACCTTTGATTGGTTCTTCCCTAGTACTCATGTCACCCAACCCCCCCCCACACGAACTGCAAACAAACTGCAAAGCAATAAAGCACTGGAAAGTGGCAGTCCTACATTATAAATTTGAGGTCCCGGTTCAGCACCCCTCAGTCGGGTATATGGTCTCGCCCTGCTGATGAGGTCAAGCCTGATATAAACTGCTGTCCTGTGCTTCCTAGCTTTTCGAACCACGCTTCGTTTACTCTGTGGTCCGAGAAACGCACCATATAATCAGATCAAATCTTCAACTGTTTTCAAACAAATGCTTTCACTAATCACATTTGGTTACATCGATTTCCTAACGCATAATTTTGTTGTGCAGCTTAGCTGATATAGTGCATTGACTGTGTAGAAACGCGTGAGCAATGAGGTGTAAATCACGGTCTGTTGACTGCTTTAACGATCCATTTGACAGCAGTGACGATCTGATTGTTCATTCCCAAAATTTACATCAACACTGGTGACAACAATTTGAACAATGGCTTTTGATTTTCAAACATCACATCCGCCTACTTGCAAATTTCTAACTGACAACGTCCCCATTGTTTTAGAAGCTATTTCCAATATTTTGCAAGCCAAAACACCTTGGTTAAACGGGTAAATGTTATTCTTTCCAGAACGATCTCCTGAGGGCAATATTTTGGATCAGTCAGGCCTTACATGTATTACTGATTCCGGCGATCTCTCAGAACTAGGCAAAAAAGAGAAACATTCATTTTCTGATGAAGTTCCGATAAGCTGTGGAATTTGGGTTGCTAACATGTACCGCGCTAGTGAATATGGATCTTTGTATTCATTGTTTAGACTGGGTGTAAAATAAGATAGTTGTATATCGGAGACAAAAATTAAGTAACAATTCACAGTAAAGAGAACATTTTCTATTTCAGTTCGCAAAGACACAAATAACATCAACGGAATCTATCGGAATAATGATGAGACCGGACAACGTATCTTGACACTTTAACCGTATTTATCTCTACATTTAGTCGGCGTTCCTCAAGATAGTAACTCGCCTCGAGATGCGAAAAAAGTGTTCAATCAGTTGATGCCTAATCCCGGGATTATAGGTTACTCTCTATCTAATGTAAATCATATACGAATCATCGTTGATGTACGGAATGTGGTTATCATTTCTATACATATTTGTTTTCCAAGTTTAATTTCCAAACTAGGAAAGAAAATACACCTTTAGGGGGAAAAGGCACACGGATATTTATGCTAACCAGTAATCAGATCACGCGTGCGTGCTTGTGAAAAAACAATTGAGCTGTTCTTACTTCGTTCATATTCGCTTGTGCAAAGCCTGGGAGAATTCGTACATTATTTGAACAGGTGCAATGAACAAGCCGCAAGTTGGCGGGGCGTTTGCATATGAAAAAAATGAACCGAGGTCACGTGTGTGTACAACTCGTGGCGTAGCTCTGTGGATAAACCCTGGGTACGGAATAGAATTTGATTAGCACCACTACAGCATGACGGTTCATGCAAACAGCTC